GGCTCGAACTCCCGGACCGCGAGATCGTGACCCGGCTGAAGTCGGACGCTCAACCGACTGCGCCACCCGGGCGCCCCTCACCTTTTACTTTCTTCGGGTTTATCTCCACCTTTTCTGAGACTGTAGCCTTCACCCCTGCCATGTGATGCCTAGTTTCTCCTTAGCGCTTCTCATGTGATACAGTCTATGCACCTGTCCCCTCTCTTGCTTGTCTCCCAGATAGAACGTGAGCTCTGTGAGGGCAGGGATTTCGTTTCGTTTGCTTGCTCCCTGTGGGTACCAAACACTGCCTGCACAGGGTGGCCTGGGGCAGTATTTGTGTGGTGTCTTCAGGGGAGGGGGGACACTGGAAAGGAGGGGGACACAGGACTGAGAGTGATGGACGGGCTGGAGCTTCCAGGCTCAGACCCCGGGGAGACGTGGGGTCAGTTCTGAAATGGCCTTAACCCTTCGTGATTACGGGTAGACTAGAAAAGCCACTTGATTTCAAACCCTCGGTATCTTTGGTTCATTTAACACCTTGAGGATATTGTCACCTGGCTTATTCCTTATCGCTTCCTCTGCTTACTTAACTCTCCCTTGACCTGTCACTTCTGTTGCTGGAGTCGTGTTGACACTATCACTTCCTCTGTTTAACTCCTTGTGGACATGACTACATGCTCCACTAACTCAGCCTTTGTTGATGTTTCCACTTCCTCTGTTTATTTAACTCCGTGTTGTCACAATCACTTCCTTTGTTTCCTTAGTTGCTTCAAGTCCATAAAATTAAAGGAGGTACCAGATTGGCTTTTCTAGCGTGGTGAGACATGTGGTCGGCAGGTCATAGCCTTTCTTCCTTTCTGGCTTCCTCGGCACATACGTCCCATGACCTCAGCGCGGTGGTTCAGAGAGGGCAAGCGGGGCCTGTGAGGCCACACAGCACAGCAGAGCGTAGCCCAGGCATCCACCAGGCCCGCGTGGCTGTGCGAGGTCCATGGGCCTTCTGGCATGCTGGCACCGTGGGAGCCCCCCTAAGTTGCCCTCCGTTGTGTCCCTGCAGTCCTTGGATAGCTGGGGTACTTCCGAAGATGCTGATGTTCCTTCTAAGCGACACTCAACCTCTGACCTCTCGGACGCAACCTTCAGCGATATCAGGAGAGAAGGCTGGTTGTATTATAAGCAGGTCCTCACCAAGAAGGGGAAGGTAAGGTGGTTGGCAGCCTGAGGTGGAGGTGGATGGATGCTGTCTCCGGCAGAACTCTCCGGCTTTTATACCCGCCCCACAGCCTCTGGAGCCAGAGGGAACCAGCTGAGGCTGTAGCCTGAGGGGTAGAGGTTAGATGTTAGGAAGAACTTCCTGGGGGGCATAAAGAACTCACGAACAAGAGGGTTTAACCAGAGAGGTCGTCTCTGCTGCTGTGGGAGGGATCTGGTCAAACTGTGCCTGGAATTCTGACAGAACCATCCCACAGTGATCCTTGGTTGGCTGATCGCCCCAGAAAGGATCACTGGGGGCTCACGGAAAATGAGGGAGCAAGGCCAGGGTGATTCTTTCGGAGGAGCTGAGACCCCAAAAGAAGACAGACGTTAGCCTTTTCGGGGCCTCACGGGGCCAGCAAAGCTTTTAGTCTTTATCCTAACAGCCACTGAAGCCCCTGGGGTCTCTTTCATTTGGCTTCCTGGGGAATGAATTAGAGAGGGGCCCCGGCTGGGGCCGGCTGGAGGCAGGAGGACCAATTAAGGGCGACCACAGCGACGGCTGGGCATGCAGGTGGCAGGGGGAGACAAACAGGATCCCAGAGCGAGGAGGCCGGGGCCCTGGGTCCACGGAGGCGACGCGGCCCGGGCGAAGCTGAGCGGAGCGGTTAGCATCGACCTGGGCTTGGCCCTTGCCTGCATCATGAATTGCCCGGGGGAAGCTTGGGTGACTCACCCGCCTATGACTCAGTTTCCTCGTCTGTAAATAGAGCTAACAACAATCCCTAGCATATACACCTGTTGCTGAGGATTAAACGAGATGATCTCAGCAAAAGTGCACCCAGTGCCTGGCACGGGGAGCTGCTAGTCCTCTGCTATTAGTTGAATTTTCCGCCCCGCCTTCTGGGGGTCTTGTACCTGGAGAGAATGTAAGCTTTGAAGTCAGACAGACTGGGAGCTCCTGCCCAGCCACTTATCCAGCATATGGTTTTGGGCAAGCCCCTTAACCTCTGTACCTCACTCTTCTGATCTGTAATGTGGGGACAGTGCCATTCTACGTCCCGGGCTGGTGGGAGGTGGAGTGAGATGTATGGGCCAGGTGGGGCTGGCATCCATCTGTGCCCTCATCCAGTCCACGATAATGACCGAGTGCCTGCCATGCTCCCGATTCTCGGTCGAGGTTCTGGGTATTTAGTGGTGTGGGAGGCAGGCCATCCCGCCCCGCTGGGGCTCAGGACAAGCAGAGGAAGCACCCGGTGCATAATAGTTGCCAGCCCACGACTGTCAGGACTGGAGAGCTGAGCCGAATGGCACGCAGTAGGTGACCCCAGCCTATGCGGGGTTGGGGGAAGGTGTCGGGGAGGCTGTGACATGAAGGGTGTGTGAGAATCCACAGAACAGGGAGGGGGTGGGAAGTGCTCTGACAGTGGAGATGCCCTCCTGGATGGTCTGGGAGAAAGGAACAGAGGGCGTGCTGGGTGGTCGCGAGCCAGGTGAGAGGTAGAAGCCGAGGTGGGGAGTCAGGTGCCTGCTTCGGGACCTCATCACCCAGGGCAAGCCTTTGCAGGGGTTTAGATAGGGATGGGAGGTGTGTAAGCCCAGGAGGCAAGGATCACATCTGTGATAGGAGGTGACAATGCCATTGCCGCTGTCCAGGTGAGCGAGGGCGAGGGCTCTAAGGTCGTGGCATGGGGCGGAGGGAAAGGGACAATTTAGAGACACTGAGGGACCGATGGGTTTGGCTTGCTGATGGCTGGGAGGTGAGGGAGGGTGGAGGAGGCAGATGATGGCTGCGGGGGCGATGGGGCCTTCCCTTGAGCCACAGGGCCCTGGAGGGGCAGGTTGGTGAGTGGAAGCCAAGGGTTCCTTTGGGGACTTGTGGAGTCCAAGGGCCCTGGGTCATGCCCCGGTGGGGGTGTCCTGGGTTCAGAGGCTCTAGGGCTGTGGCACCCGGGAGGGAGTCTATCAGGGTGTGCACTTGTAGCCACAGGTGTGGGAGCACTGAGGGAGAAGGCGAGAGACTGGCTGCACCTTGAGAGGAAGTGGGGAGAGCAGACCAAAGAGGAAAGCCAGCAAGATGGCAGGAGGGGTTGCCTAGGAGGGCAGCAGGGGCCAGCTGTGTGAGCTGAGGAAGGGGAGATGAACCCTTCCAGCCCCAAGTTTGAGCTCCTCTGAGGGCCAGGGGAGAAATGCTGACTCTGGCCTGCGAGGTGGCCCATCTCCCAGCTCTGGATGGCCCCCGGCAGCCGCACCACAGTGTCTCCCAGGCAGGGACGGGAACTGGGCCCTTCCTGCTCACTGACCGGTACTGGAGGACAGGGGCTTCCACTCCTGGCTTGGCCAGGACCCGATTTCACTTGTCCTCTTGGTGCTGTGGCCTGGGAGTTAGGAGAGGGGTCATTAAGTCAGCTTCGGGCCCTTAGTCTGTCCAGGGAACTGATGTCCAGCCGGATGTTGTCCGCTCTGGCAAGTCTAGCCTCTCCCGGGTAACCCCCACCCAGCCTCCAGGCTCTTTCAGAGACCATTCACTGTCGGGCAGAGGGAGGTAGGTGTGACAGGTCCCTGCAGTCACAGACCTACCATTTGAGCAGGATGTAACCTTGGGAACTGGCTAGTTCACCTTTCATTTACCAGTAGGGAACACTGATGCCAAGGGAGGGGGCTTGACTTGTCCAAGGTCACCTAGTTGGTTCGGTCTCAAAGGGTCACCTTGTTGGGGCGCCTGGGTGGCTCAGTCGGTTAAGCGTCCGACTTCGGCTCAGGTCATGATCTCACGATCCGTGAGTTCGAGCCCCGAGTCAGGCTCTGTGCTGACAGCTCAGAGCCTGGAGCCCGTTTCAGATTCTGTGTCTCCCTCTCTCTCTTCCCCTCCCCTGTTCATGCTCTGTCTCTCTCTGTCTCAAAAATAAATAAACATTAAAAAAAAAATTAAAAAAAAAAAGGGTCACCTTGTCACCCCCCTCACTCTGACATAAGAAATTCCCCTGGAGGGGCGCCTGCGTGGCTCAGTGAGTTAAGCATCTGATTCTTGATTTCGGCTCAGGTCACGATCTCATGGTCATGAGATCGAGCCCCGAGTCGGGCTTTGTGCTGAGCTTGGAGCCTGCTTGGGATTCTCTCTCCCTTTCTCTCTGCCCCTCCCCACTTGCACGCCCACTCTCTCTCTCTCAAAATAAAAATATGAACATGAAAACAAATTCCCCTGGAAGGTCATGTCATTTCCTGCTCTGACAATCCTGTCTGGGTCCAGCAGGTCTGTGGTGGTGGCCAGGGCTCATGGTCAGATGTGGCCATGTTACCCACCAGCCACGGAGTTTCCTCATCTGGCTCGTTCTGAGGGCAGAGGCCCCTGTTGGATGAGTGGTAGGTAGGCCACCGGTGCAAGGAAGGGAGCCCTGGGCCTGATGGGGGAGAGCCTCTGCCCTCAGGGTGCTCCGAGGATGATTAATTCATTAATTCATTTATTCAATAAATATTGATGAGCACTTACCCTACGCCTGTGGAGGCTGTAGGCTCTTGGCTAAGGATGTGAGAGGACAGACCAGTTCCCGGCCCCCAGGAGCTTCCCATTTACTGGAGAAATCTGCAACCAGCATTAAGCGCAGGTTACAGTAAGCACTCAGGGAAAATGAACAGGGTGATGTGAATTGCCTTTAATTCTGGAGGTAGCAGGGAGCTGCCTTTATTAAAAAAATGGTCAGTGGGGACTCCCGGGTGGCTCAGTCGGTTGAGCGTCTGATTCTTGATTTCAGCTCAGGCCATGATCTCACGGTTCGTGAATTCGATCCCCTTGTTGGGCTCTGTGCTGGCGGTGTGGAGCCTGCTTGGGATTCTCTCTCTGCCCCTCCCCAACTCATGC